GGGCGGGGGCCGGGCCCGGGTCGCTGCCCCGTGGGGCGGGCGGCGGCGGGCTGCTGGGGGCCAGCTTCAAGTCCACCGGCTCTTCGGTGCCAGAGCTGGAGTACGCGGCGGCCGAGTTCGAGCGGCTCAAGAAGGAGTACGAGATCTTCCGGGTTAGCAAGAACCAGGAGTTGCTGTCCATGGGCCGCCGAGAGGCCAAGCTGGACACGGAGAACAAGCGGCTGCGGGCCGAGCTGCAGGTAACGCCGGGCCCTGCGCGCCCCGGGGCCAGCCCACACACCGGGAAACCGAGGCCGGGGCGGCCTGCCCACTGCCGCGCAGCCGCTCGGCCGCACTTGTCCCTCCTGTCTCTTCTCCAAACCAAGAAGTTTCCAAAGTTGGGCGGAAACCTCATTTTAATCTCAGGGACTATATTCTCTTTGGGTGTAAACTGATTCCTTAACAACTCCCCTCCCCTTTTTCTATTTCTGGTTCATTCATTCAGCCCCCTCCAAGCAGTTAGCCCCAAAGGGTCCTGAGCAGCAAATGCCAGTCTCTAGGGGGCTCCTGGGAAGTAGGTTCACACAAAGCACACACACACAAGACTGGTGACATCTGTTAGCAACTCGACAAACTCTTCCTAGGAGTTCACCCCCCCATCCCCCAATTTGCATACCTCCAAGGTGAGCCTCATGTCTCGGTTTTTTTGTGAAGTTCCATAGCTCTTGGGTTTTAATGATCTGCACATGAATTTTTCTGGAAGCCTCCTGACTTTCACCTTAACTGCTATTGCTGAAAACCTTCCCTAGATGTAAGGTAGTCAAATTCCTTTAGTGCGTATGATTAATTTACTCCAAAAGCAATTATTGCATGCCCTCCACGTAGCAGATCCATTTTAACTCATTAAAATAGTATAGAAAGCAAGAGGTTGCTTTTCTGTGAGCAAAGTTCTGAGACGTCGTGCCATTGGTTTGAGGCTCCTCTGATGGTTGCTGTGTTGTTTGTTTATGGCAGCTCAATAGTTCCTGGGCTCAACACAGTAGGAAATAAATAAATACCTGATTGATTTTTCTAAAAGGAAGAAGCCTCCTTCCTTCTAGTTTAGGGTTCTTCTAGTCTGGTTTTTATAACCCCCCCCCCCCCCC